TTAGATGGACTTATTTTATTTTATATTTTTGTTTATGTGGACTTATTTTGTTTATGGGATATAACTAATGGGATGTTATATAGGATATGCACGTGCTGTTCTACCATGGGAATAGGCCATGGGCCCAGTGTACTTGCTGTATCCAGATCCTGCGGTTCCAGAGATTGTTGTATCCAAAACACAGGACTCCTGAGCATGCCGTTTCAGACATGACTCTGGACCCACTACCTGCAAGGCAAGGACTTGTGTCTGCCATCCCTGGCTTAGCTGGTGGGCCCCTAGACCTCTCTCTAGATAATGCTGGATGCCCTGAAGATAGGTGAGATTCCTCTTGGCCACAAATTTATTTTAGCGCTCCAACGCAGCACTCTGGGTCCCAGCGCTAGCCAATGACAAATGTAATGCACACAAAGAGATAAAACAGAGGGCGCACCGGCCCCATGCATTACCTTTAAAAATGTATTTATTGCATAAAAATAGTGATATACTCACAACAAAGGATAAAATGTCAAAGGCAGATTATATGAAGTACAGCAAAGTCCAATAACAATGGATGATGTCTGTAATGGGTTTAATAGACCACCAACTGGTTGACACTCTTCCAGGCCCTGCCTCTCCCTCCGAGAGTCATTGGCTCTGAGGGAGAGGCAGGGCCTTGAGGCGCATCAGCCAGTTGGAGGTCTAAAAATTCCATTACAGACATCATCCAGTGTGATTGGACCTTGCTGTAATACATATGATGTGCCTTTGACATTTTATCCCTTATGAGTATATTACCATTTTTAATACAATAAATGATTTTTTAAAGGTAATGCATGGGGCCGGTGCTCCCTCTGGTTTGTCTTTGTGGCAGTTCATTTGGATTCCCCATGTCCGTTGAGGGCAGCAAGGCATGCATCTTCTAGGCATCCCATGTGTGGTTCTAGTTACTGTGGAGTCTATTGTCCAGCACAGAGTAGAAGCTTTTGCTATTTTTGGAATGACAAATGTAACACTGAATAGTAGGAGAGGTTAAACGGAAATTGGTAATTTAAGCCTCTGAGTGAGTGTCCCTTATGTTTATGTTTAGGGCTTTCCTTAGGTTGGGACTGAGGAGGTCTAACATCCTCCTGAACTTTTCCTTTTGCCCCTCACTTTCACTTATATGGAACAAGCAATGTGCACTGCTTTGTGCATTCTACAAACCCCATAGTCCATAGCAGGAATGAGCAAGACCGCGTTATGTTCCTACATACAGTGTGACCATGGAGAAGGAACGTAGACATCCTCTAACACAGCCTTTCTCAACCAGGGTGCCCATTCACTCTGGGGTGCCTTGGCAAAATGTCTACAAATTGCCCAAAACTTGTATACAAGCCTGCCTTTTTAGCTACACAAAGCCACAGGATTTCATTGTACACCATTACAACCTTCTAGCTGCCGGCTTCCTGACAACCAATGACAATCAGTTGATAAGGAGGATGTCAGCTGCCTGCACAGCATCCTGGTTTGACCCTCCCCTGCCCCTCTCCATCAGTGCCGGGGTCACATTTAGCTCAGTTATGGAGAAAAACTGATGGAGAAGAAAAACACTGGAATACTAGTCAGTACCAGTGTGCAAAAATGTATTTGCTTTGGAAGAATAAATCACCTCTAATGTTGGGTGTCCTACATGTGTGGATGTTGCTGCATTATGTAAAACATTTCACATTTAGAATGGGCTGCCATTTTAAAATGGACAGTCAAGAGGCACCCTATTTTAGAGTGTGGTGCCTCAAGACTGCCCATAATTTTAAAGGGTGCCTCGGTATTGTTCATCATTTTTAAGGTTGTTTTGACTGAAAAAAGGTTGAGAAACACTTCTCTAACACACAGGTGTCAAACTGGTGGCCCTCCAGCTGTTGCCAAACTACAAGTCCCATGAGGCATTGCACGATTGACAGTTACACGCATGACTCCCAAAGACAGAGGCATGATGGGACTTGTAGTTTCGCAACAACTGGAGGGCCGCCAGTTTGATACCCCTGCTCGAATAGGAAGTCAGATCACAGCAGCAATAAAAAGGAATTTGGGGATTTGTAGGAGGTTGAGAACAATAGAAAGTACTTTTTGAGTCAAGAATACATACTTGAATAGAATTATAGTTTTTTTTAAACTAGAGTTTAAAATCACTTTAAGGAGCATATAAAGAGGAAGCAAAAGCAAATATAGCTAGGAGACAAAATACATCAGCAGCTATGGTACAATCATAAGATGTGAGGAGGTGAATTAAACTTAAAAAGATCACATATCCTATCCCCATAGTGAGCTGCATCATGGGGGAAACAGATGAGGACAAATCAAAGAATCTTAAAAGTGGGTTGTACAAACAATTCAAAACAATCCAAGTTTCAGCAAACCTCAATAATCTAAGAGTTTGTCAGTACCAAGAGACCAAGTCTAGGAAATAAACAATGCAAATGAATGTATCAGGAGAATAAATGCCAGATCTAGAAGTGGGTATTGAACCTATGGAATGTAAAGTAGGATTACAAAACCGATGCCGACTTAGCAGCAAGGCAGTAAATCTGTGCCATCAGATGCAGAGAAAAAAACAATTAAAGGAAATGTACTGAGTATGGAGACTGCAATTGCTGGCCCCTTCTTTTGAAAGCTGTAGTCCCCTGGTTGTCATGCTGATCTAATGGCTTCAATACCTTCTGAGTCACTGACCCAAAAGAGGTATGGAGATCATGAGCATGTTTTTTAATTATTATTATTATACAGTATGTATATAGCGCCAAAGGGTATGCTCAGCACTGTACAGTAGCAAGGGGGACAGAACATGAGACAAGACAGTAACAATACACTACACGAGGGGTTCAAGGGCTCTGCTCTTTCGAGCTTACAATCTAGGAGGGAGGGGAAGGTGGTACAGGAGGAAATGGCTGTGGGGGATGGAGTGGAGGAGGTTAGTTGTTAGGTGAGGTTGGGATAGGCTTCCCTGAAGAGGAGGGTTTTCAGGGTGCGCCTGAAGGTGGGGAGGGTAGGTGACAGTCTGATGGATTGGGGTAGGGAGTTCCAGAGGATGGGGGAAGTCCTGGAGAAGTCCTGCAAATCGGGCGTGGGAGGAGGAGACCAGGGAGCTAGAGAGTAGGAGGTCCTGTGAGGAGCGGAGGGCATGGGTAGGGTAGTATTTGGGTATCAAGTCAGTTATGTAGTTCGGGGCGGCATTGTGAATGGTTTCGTAGGTCAGGGTTAGCAGTTTGAATTTGATGCATTGGGCAATTGGGAGCCAATAAAGGGGTTGGCAGAGGGGGGAGGCAGATGTGGAGCGCTTGGTGAGGTGGATGAGTCTAGCCGCTGAGTTTAGGATCGACTGGAGTGGAGATAGCGTTCGTTTGGGTAGGCCAGTGAGAAGGGAATTGCAATAGTCCAGGCGTGAGATGATGGAGTGTACAAGTTGTTTGGTGGTGTCTGGGGTGAGGAATGTGCGTATCTTGGAGATGTTGCGGAGGTGGAGCCTGCAAGATCTAGATAGCAGTTGGATGTGGGGTAGGAAAGAGAGGTGGGAGTCCAGGGTGACTCCAAGGACTTTGGCGTGCGTTGTGGGAGAGATGGTGGCGTTGTTAGTAGTGATGGAGAGGATGGGGGGGGGGGGGCACAGGGTGGGGGGAAGACCAGGAGCTCAGTTTTGGATAGGTTAAGTTTGAGGAAATGGAGCGACATCCAGTCTGATATGTCGTTTAGGAGGTGGGCGATGCGGGCAGAGAGTGAGGGGGTGAGGTGGGGGGTGGAGAGGTAAATTTGGGGGTCGTCGGCATAGAGGTGGTAATTGAAGCCGTGGGAGTGAAAAAGTTTGCCAAGGGAGGAGGTATAGATGGAGAAGAGGAGGGGCCCGAGGACAGAGCCTTGGGGGACCCCGACAGAGAGGGGGAGGGAGGGGGAGGTGGCAGTGTTGTAGGTGATGCTGAAGGAGCGTTGGAAAAGGTAGGAGGTGAACCAGTAGAGAGCAGCGTCCTTGATGCCAAAAGAGTGCAGTTTGGCAAGAAGGAGAGGGTGGTCAACAGTATCGAAGGCCGCGGAAAGGTCGAGGAGCAGGAGGATAGAATAGTGGCCATTGGCTTTGGCAGTTAGCAGGTCATTGGTGATTTTAAGTAGGGCGGTTTCGGTGGCGTGCAGGGGGCGGAAGCCAGACTGTAGGGGGTCAAGGAGGTTGTTATCAGTGAGGTGGGCGCTTAGGCGGTTGTAGACCAGGCGCTAAAGGAGCTTGGAAGTGAAGGGCAACAAGGAGATGGTTCTAAGGTTGTTAAGGTTAGTGGGGTCAAGGGAGGGTTTTTTGAGTATGGGGGGGGTGATGTGTGCGTGCATTAGAGGGGAGGGGAAGGTGCTTTTGCTGCCACAGCCAATTTTGTATTTTCCGCACACATGCAAAAATGTACATTTTTAGGCCTGAAGATTAAAACCCCAAAATATATATATTTTCTGAAAGCATGGACTCTGCACAGTTGGTAGTTTTTTTTTTTTGTCACACAGCATTAAAGTTAACTAATGTTAATTGTAGTGCACACAAACATGATATACCCCCATTTTGGGTAAAATAAAAAATTTGGGTGCATTGAGTAAATAGCTACCGGATACGTGTTAAAATTGTGTTCACCTGTGAAATGGCAACAAACGTCGCAAGTCAAACATGTCTATAGATGATGTCTTTACCGGTTATCTCTTTAGCGTTAACAGTACATGATGGTCACAGAATAATTGCTCTCACTCCATATGTCAGGACCTGGATCACCTGCTGGTGGCACTGTGCTTCCCAGAGTGGAAAGCTGCAGTTTCAGTGTCCATCAGCAAGTGTCTCCCAGCTGATGTTGGCTGCTGGGAGGGTATTTAGCTCCTTTTCTACCTTTCTTCAGTGTTTTGCTGTGCTACCAGATACTGCCTGCAATTTATCCTGTTCCTGCTCTTGATTGTGATTTGTATTCAGGGGCGGACTGACCATTTGGAAACTCGGGCACTGTCCGAGGGCCCGGGGTCAGTAGGGGGCCCCATGATCCCCTATTGCCCGGGGGTCCCATGAGTTGTCAGTCCGCCCCTGTTTGTATTGTACTTGATACCCTGAATCCTGCTGCCTTGTTTCTACTTCCCCTTGTTCCTGATCCCAGTTTTGATTCCCCCTTCCTATATTTTTCCTGCACCTGCAATTTTACCCTGCTTTTCTGTGTTCCCCATTTGTATACATTGTATATACTGTAGTTAGTTCTCTAGTTAGGCTTTTTGTTACTCAGGTTGTTTAGTTAGGTATTTTGTTGCTGGGTTTTTGGTTCACTTATATTTTTAGGTTTACTGTAGACATGTGTGTGTCATTACTAACCGATTTTCGGATGAAAATGTGACTTTCAAAGCTTTGAATGTATACTAATCCCCGAATGGATATGGTAATGAATATCAATGAAGCAGAAAAAAGTTATACAGGTAACAAAATTAACAAACGCATTTGTTTCATTAGGATGACATCACATGATGCGATAGTAGTTCAGGCCCACGGGGAAATTAATTAAATTTTCAAATTTGTTCGATAATTGGGATTCAAGTTCAGCTGTGATTTAAATCGAAGTTGTAATTGTCACAGTCAGTTCAGTTCCACAGTTTAATGCAATTTTTAGGTTTGAAAAATATGGGGCCATCAAATTTTGCAGTATTTGTTCTGTTGTGTCCGAAAATATCGAATTGTCTTGATATATGAATAATGAATCCACCTGAAATATTGAAACCGAAACTTAATATAAAGCAATCTTAACTTTTCGAATCCACCCGGCCCAATAAATATACGAATTATAAAAATACGAAACAAAATGTTGAAAACAAAATCGGTTCAATATAAAAAACATGCCAAAACATAACTCTTCAATAAACGAATGCATCCAAAATGAAACAAAACAAAAAGTTCCGGTGTGCACATGTCTAGTTTGCTGGTGTTTGGATGGATTTTGGTTTCACTGTAAGTAAACCCTACTTTATATATACAATATAGAGTGAGGTCCCAGCATTTCTTGAGTGTAGGTACCAGGGGCGGACTGACACCTCATGGGGCCCCTGGGCAATAGGGGATCATGGGGCCCCTGTGTCCTTACCCAAACTCAAAAAAGCCTATGAAAAAGGTACTAGGGGCATCTCATGGGGCCCCCTACTGACCCCGGGCCCTCGGACAGTGCCCGAGTTTCCAAAATAGTCAATCCGCCCCTGGTAGGTACACACATTTGGCAATCTCTGCTGCTGATTCCTGACACCAGTGTGTGTGAAGATATGTAACATGTATATCGCAGTTGTCATATTCCTATGTACCCTCACGGGATGCTGACATTTATGTATCTATGTGCATGTTCATTGTAGCACGGGCTTTGAATTTTTTGGTGTTTTTTTTTATTATTATTTGTTAGCAATAAAGTTAAATGAAGAAGAAAATAAAACTAACACATGGGGGGACCAATACCCCCCCCCCCCCCATGTAATAACATATTTACAGTGACAGGTTCTCTTAACGAGACATCAGGAGTCTATTAAACCACTGTTGTCTACCTTGCACTCCCCTGATGCAACTCAGCTGCTATGGGGCCCAGAGGTATGATGGTAGTCGTAGGCAATAATTCAACTGCTATAGGGCCCAGAAGCATAAGATCACTGTCTAGACCTAGCTATTGACTTATACAAGCCCTTAGAGATCCCAGTCACAAACCCTAAACTTGCACAACCTTTAAAATAAAATGTGAAATAAAACTGTATTCTACCTATACATTTCCCTTAACTGCACGCAATTAAAGAAGGGAAACTATTGAGACCAAAGTACCTTTTAAGCTTTCAGAAGGCTGTAGAACTGTAAAGATTATTTTCTCTTATAATCCAAACAATTCCAAATAAAACTTTGAGAAAACCTGCTAAATAAATGTAAAAAGGACTTCACACTTAAGCACCACTGCTTTCTAGACTGACCTCTCCTTGAAATGATTGGATTTCATGACCTGTCAGTCTCACTGAGAAGTTCTCTCCGGTATTTCTTGTTACGTTAGTTCCCAGAGAGCTCAGGCGGTGAGTATAATTTCCCAAGACTTCTCAGTGATTGGGGTCATTGTGGTGATCTTCAAGACGGATCTCACACAACCACGTCCCACGGACTATGTCGCTGAGCCCAGGCGTGTCACATCCTGTATCTTCTGGACTGTCAGGAACTTCTATCTATTCATTTCTCTTGGGCCATCCATTCTTATCAACTCTGCAAAGAGACTTCAAACACCACAACAAAAGAAATTCATCCTCCTTTTCTATATTTTATGAAAGACAGGAATGAAGAAACTGACAGCTGAGTGGAAAAACTTAGACCACCTATTGTAACTGGTTATCAATCTTAGGCACATCTGCTCTTTGTGATTCTTGGCCTTGGTCAATTTTAGGACAATTTGGACATCTATCGTTCTGTTCTCCTTTATTATGTGTGCTCTGTTAACAGTAGAGATTGGTTTTGATAGAAAATGACAATTGTTTTCATGGCAAGGATGTGTGGAGACCCTGTTTGTAAATATGTCATCCTTCTAGTGTGTCACTGTCTCCAGCATGGTCTACATATTGAGTCTTGGTGTTCATGCAAGAAGCAGCGCAGCAAAGTGGCATACTGTTAACATACCTGCCTTCCAGAAAGGGAGTCCTTAGCTGGGTTTATACCAGGAACACTGCACCCCTTAAGACACCCCAGTCTAGAATGTAAAAAATTTAAAAAATATCATTGGGAAACCCTGAGCCTGGGACAATGAACACAACCGCCTTGATGAAATTAACTTCACATCAGATGGTCCCCTATCACATCAGTGGTTCCCCATCATGTCAGAGGTCCCAATTCACACCAGAGGCCCCTATCACATTAGAGTTTCCCTATACATGAGAGCCTCTCATCACAGAGTTACCCCTTTACATCAAAGCACCCCTATACATGAGTTCCCACTGTCACATCAGAGTCCAGCCATCACCACAGAGCCTCTTAGTCATACAAGTCACCCTTCAAAGAGCCCCCCAATTACACATCCCCCAATCGCACAGTCCCCCATCACACAGAGCCATTGGTTGGTAGTGCTGGCACCCAGCATGACCATACCAATGTAAGTTATGATGTTGAGCCAGGGCAAACTGAGTACTGAGCTTGCTGAACCCTGGGGGAACCCAGACTGCACCCCAGTAGAGAAACACTGGTATAAATCACTGCTTAGCAAAACACAGACAGCACAGAGTCAAACTCTTACTTTGTCAATTTTCAAGGAAACCAAAAGTGATGGTATATTTAAACATGTTACAGTTGTAACCAAAAAACAAGACGTAAAATTAAAACATCCAGTGGGGATACCTGTTTTGGTGACAATTGTCTGTGTAGCACAGACTCCAAACTGGCCTTTCAGATTCTATTCCCCAATGGATGCTCGACAGTCCCCAGTGTCTTTTTGAGATTTAATGCTCATTGAACCTGGATGGGGTGCAGGATGAGCCTTGGAATACTTCAAATTTAATGCACCATGTAACAGAGGACATTCTCTGGTAATAACTAGATTCCTCTCATGGTGGGCCCCTTTTGGACTCTCAGTAAGTGGACATAAAACTCGGAGGACTCCAACTGCAGGAGCAGTCCTACGTCAGCAACTCTGAAGCAAACACTCAAATGGGTTACGCAGCAACAGTCACTAGGATCTTTCTTTCTCTCTCTCTGGCCTTCACTCACTGTGTCCCCGTGTACTTGGATGCCTCCTTCCAATACCAGCCAGACACTTGTTCCATGAGTCTCCAGGCTAGATCCTCAGTGGACTCCCTCTGAACTAACTTCAGCAACTCTCAGAGACAGCCCCCCCCCCCCCCCCCCAGCAGGTTCCCTTAAATTGGGACCTTAATGAACTTCTTTGAGTGGATAGCCCCCCCCCCCCCCCCCCAGCTTTCCCTGAGCTGGAACCTCGATGAACGTCTGAAAATTTCAGCAAAACTGCCCAAAATGGCAGCAGCCCTTCAGGTTGGGGTCTTCTCCTCCTGGACAAGAACCCTCCTGTTCCAGGCCCCAGACTGTTTATACATCCCTCAGCCCCCTACTGTTCATTATCTTTACTAGGGATTGGCTGAGGCTACATGAATTTTCAGTCCCGGGTTTGCCTCTTATTAAGGATAAGTTCACCTTTTTGAACATGTTACATGTTCCACTCCTTTTTAGGGTGGAACATGTAACGTTCTCAATGCTGCAGTCGCTGCCCAAACTCCCTCCTCCCTGTGACAGTAGTATGGAGAGAAGTACAAGCTGCCACTTTTTAAAAATAGCGTGACTGTGTGGGGCTCCACGCATGCAGCCACTTCATTCACAGAGTTTTGTGAATGAGTGAACTACAAGTCCTGGTAGCCATAGTGGATTCAGCTTGTAGTTCCCAATGAACCACCACGGTGCTGTGGAGCGTCTCGGCAGTTCATGGAGTATTCCTGTCAGATTGTACAGGCTTGCTCGATTTTTTTTTTTTGTCAAAAGGTGAACTTATCCTTTATGTATGTGTGTGGCCTTGTATGACTGATGTTGGAACATTAGGTACAAACCGTGCTTCTGCATGGCAGGCTGTTTACATCTAAGCCCCCATTCACACTTGGGCATTGTGCACGTAAGCAGTTTTGAGGCTTTTTGTGCAAATTAGTTAACAACCTGCCATACAAGAGCTCTTTGAGGCAGAATCACACTTTTTTAGCATCATTGACTTTATGGGGGTGTCTGAAAAAAGCATGTAGTGCACGTTTTTTTTTCCAGCCCTCCCATTGATGTCAATGGAGCTAAAAAAGCCTCCTCATGCTTCAAAAGTCGGTCATGTACCTTTTGGTGCTTCAAGCATTGAGGTACAGGTACTTGAATGCTCAAATATGAACAGGGACAATTTAAAACCATGGGATTTGGCTTGTTGAGTGTCTTGGAGCTTGGAGTTACAAAAATGGTCAGCTAAGTGAATCATTCAAAAGATATGCATAACATTTCGGTGCTATGTATAGCTTGAGCCTCGTGGTACCTGCATGGGCTGCTTTGCCTAATATTTTCACTCAGCTAATGCACTTTGATTATCCATTCGGCAGGTTTGGGGGTGTTCCGCCATTGTTATTGTTGCAGCTATGCTACTGCATCTTCAAAAGAAGTCAAGGATCTGGTTGTG